TCGATGAATTTCAATCGCAAATAACTTTTTTATTTGATGTCGGATTTAAACGAATATTAAAGAATATTGTAGATAAATTAATGGACAATCGCTCACATTTTAAAAAAATACTAAAAAATAGACGTACGTTTATAAAATACAGGTTTAAACAAAAAGATGTTTTTTACCATAAGTTTAAGACACTCTGTAGAGTGGCAAAACCGTGTATTGTTCTAAATTAAGTTTTATTTATCAAGTCACATCTATTCTTAACAGTTTTGTTTTTGGTTCACCTCGTTATATTTATTTTTGTGGAAAATATGGATTTTTTAAAAAAACATTGCAATTTCCAATATTTTTCTGTATGAAGAACTAAGGTTGCTATGGTCCATCCATAGCCTACGGAGAATGACATTGACAGTTTTGTTGAATACACGGCTTTCAAAAGCTATCAAATTGTTTTTTGCAAATTAATGTTTAAATTTTGAGGTGTCTTCTCACTTTAAAAAATGGATATGTCTCCGACTGATGTTGCCAGAGCTATTAATTTAATCTACGATGGACGGTCACAGTATTACGTGGCAAGTGTTTTAAACGTCACAAGAGGTAAAGTACAAAGGGCAACATCAGTCGGAGACATTTTTAAAAGTAAGAAGACACCTTAAAATTAACACATTAATTTACAAAAAGCAATTTGATAGCTTTTGAAAGCCGTGTATGACATGTCAAAGTATGGAATGATTCAACAAAACTGTCACAGTCATCCTCCATAGGCTATGGATGGACCATAGCAACCTTAGTTCTTCATACAGGAAAAATATTAGAAATTGCAATGTTTTTTTTTTAAATCCATATTTTTCACAAAAATAAATATATCAAGGTGAACCAAAAACCAAATTGTTAAAAATAGATGTGACTTGATAATTAAAACTTAATTTAGAATAATATACGGTTTTGCCACTCTACAGAGTGTCTTAAACTTATGGTAAAAAACATATTTTTGTTTAAACCTGTATATTATAAACGTACGCGTATTTTTTAGTAATTTTTAAAATGTGAGCGATTCTCCATTAATGTATCTACAATATTCTTTAATATTTGTTTAAATCCGAAATCAAATAAAAAAGTTATTTGCGATTGAAACTCATTGAAAATTTGTGTGGATCAATTATTTTGCCTGTGAGTGTGTATATAAACAATTATTTATATAATATAATGTATAAATAATCTAATTTTCCAAAATTAGTTTAGATATAAAATTATAATTTTATTGAGCTTCAAGTAAATGTATTATATTACAAAATTCCAATATATTAATTGCATTTAATTAGTTTCTGCCTGTGCCTTGTTATAAGTCTCAATAACACATCAATTGATCCATGTTCCTTACACTTAACGGATCCTAATTATTATAACAGCCTCTTCCAACCTGTAGCTGACTTCCAACTTTCTCTGTCATGCGTCATATTGTTAAATCAACTGTTAATTTACATAAACTAGGCTACAAAGCTATTCAGCTTAATTTCTAAGAACTAAAAAGTACAAAAAAACAAAAGCTAATTAATAATAAAAAAAAATAGTTTATATTAAATTTCTGTTGAATTTAACTTGTGACGATAATGTTGTAGCCTGTGATTACTAAAGTCCTTTGAAGTTTTAAATTTAATACTAAAAAGTTAAAAAAAATATCAAGCTGATAATAATAGCCCAAGGATCGTTTGAACCTATAAATAATTTCCAAGCTAAGTAACACTTAAATTATTCAGCGTTAAATATTTATTTGTTCAAACAATTTTAAAGGGACTTAAGACTACTTAAAGAGTAAAATAAATTAAAATAAGGGCTTTGTGTAATTATAGACGATCCTGTCCTGTCTATCTTTATCTTGAAAAGATAAAATAAACTAAAGAGTAAACATTTGTCAAACGGATTACCCAAACACCATTGCAACCCATTTATTGTTAAAGATTTATTATTTCAAGAGTGTTTTTTACTAAAAATCGCAAAAATATAGGTTTAAAAAAGTGGTCAAAAGGAAACTTGTTTTTAACCAATTAGTTGGTTACTATGAACTAAAAATTCACCCTTTAAATTTACCAACCGGTTTCTATAACCTTAACGTAAATTCAAAGGTTATTTTTTGGTTAAATTAACCACGGCTTTGGTTATGGTTTTGCAGTTTTCATTGTTACCTGCATAGAAAATTTAGTCTCGATACAGCTTTATACATAAACCTATAGGTTGTGAGTTTTGTGAGATAATAATATAGAAGAGTTAACAAAGTTGAAAATCATTATTTATCTACAAATCTTAAAACAGTCAGTTCATTTCAAAAATAAGGTAATTTAAACAAATTTATTTTTAATAGTATATTATGTATCAAGTTTGATAAACGCCATTTTATACAAGAATTTAATTTAGGCACGAGCGAGCTTGCGAGCGAGTGCTTAAATTAATGAGTGTAATGAAAAGTTTATAAACGAGGTGCATACTATACTTTTTCTACGACAAATACCTATTATTATCTTAAAATGATTTAAATCAAAAATTTGTATAGAACGCCATCTATAAAACAATAGGGGAATCTGTGTGTCACCGTCAAATGTCAAATTTTTCTATTTTATAAACACAATTATAAAGGTTATAAATCGAAATGTATTTTTTGAAAATTGACAGTTTTTCACAGTGAAAGTAAAGAAAATGTTTTATGAGCACTTTACAGTGGTGTCCGTTCCCGAATTTAAGTTATAGTTTACTGCCGGCGAACTTAAAAAGTTTTCAAATATTTCAAATATTTCAAATATTGGCGTTCAGAAACTATTTAATACTTTTGTATTTTTCTATTGAGATAATAAAATAATTTTCACATTTAGTATTATTTTACAAGAAATGCACTTTATTTTAACGATTGTATGATATTTGAAAACTGTCAACTAAATTAAAACTAACTTCAGCCCGTGACTAAAAACCTGTTGCTAACTTCAGCCCGTGACTAAAACGCCGTAAAGCCACAACTTGTCAATTTGTATTTAAAAGGTCACTTAGTGTCATGGTAACATGTACGATAAAGGGCGTTTTAAAGGTGGGAGTAGAAAAAGTATTTTAAATAAATTTCATAGGAAATAATGACAAAATATGCAAAAAAATTTTTTTTTTTAAACGCATTTAAAATATGAAAGTATTATATACTACTTAAATCTTGAAAACTCGTAAAATTGTCATCGGTCTCCTAAAACTTAAAAATTAAATATAAATAGGTCATGCTAATAGTATATTAAAGAACTAATGCCATAAGACGTCAAAAGGTCTTATGACATGAGTTCTTTATGCTATTTTATCTATTTTGCAAAAATTCTATAAAAAAATTAATTTTATACCTTAAATTTAATTTGGTCGAATTTTACTTTAGATAGTTGGTATCACAGTCATTGGTTTGACAGTTAATGTCAAAATCGATTCGCCATGCCGTCCTTAATTTACTTATTTATAATAAGCGGTTGTTAATGTTAAAGAAAAAAAAAAGGATTTTCTTTGGTGTTAAACAAAATTTATTGCCAGAAAAGTCTCGTAAGTACTAGAAAAATTATAAAAATATTATAACCAAAATCAAAATTTTGGGTGGGATAAAGTATCTCATTAAAGCACCGAAAGCGGTGTTATATTGAAGTCATTATTAACGCAAAATAGATAAAAATATTTTATTTAACAGTAATTTAAAAAATATATATTTTTAGGTTTTAGTTAATTAATTTTTTTTTTAAATTATATATCACAACCTACATTTTTCTTAAAAGGAACAAAATATACCTAAAAAACAGACACCTAGACTTCTACAAAGCTGTCATTTTTAGCCATATTTGGTTTGTTTTTAACAAAAATATACCGTGTTATACAAGGTGTCCCTAAACTTATTGGCATAAATTTAGGAATAGATTGAGCGAGTCAAAATATATTCACACATAATTATAATTGTTTGAGTGAACACAGTGTTGTAGAAACGGGGGTTGCTTTAAGCTTATTGTCCCATACAAACTTTGAGGTTAGGTTTTTATGCCATTTGATGCAATTTTTCGATTACACAGTTCGGCTACCATTAAAAAGGTGTACCCCTCAAACTTCGATAAAATAAACCGTTTCCGAGATTACAATAATTGTTTAAACAAAATTAAAAGTGATGAAATTTCTACTTCAGATATAAACAAAAGTAGTAATTTTACCTCACTTTTAATTTTATTTAAAAAAAACTCGTCGAGCGAACTTTAAAATAATTATTTTGTTTTTTCTTATTTTTTAAGTACAGTGTAGAGTTGTTTTTAGTTAATTACAAAAATTCATTTCCTCAAGAAATCTACGAATTTAAATTTGTAATTTAGCCATGGGAAGAAACTAAGAAAATTGAATGTTTACCTTAATGTTTAGCCCGGTTGGCTAATTCCAGATTCCTTCAGGCCATATTAGTATATTTTATACAATTTAAGAAATACCAACAATCAAGTTTTGCCTTTATTTAAAACAGCATACAGAAAAATGCTTCCTATTTTGCACCCAAATTTTACAGCCTTCTTCCCAAAGAAATAACTCAACTTTTATATTTTCAAGCTTATAAAAGAGACGCCAAAAACTGCTTTTCAAATATAATCACCCAATAATTTTTTAATGTTATAGTGGTATAGTATTTATTATTATTATATTCCACGTTTATTATAAAAAATGTATGTATATTTTGATTGCTTAAATAAATTGAATTGAACTCGCCGTGCATTCTAGGTTGCATAGTATGTACCGATTGCGGCAAAGGCCACTTAATAGGACGTTCTTACATCTCGCCTCTGTTGGCTTACGATAGGAGTATATAAGCTCATGTAGACTTGTGATTTTTAGTTCGAAACTCTTTGGCAATAATATTGTTATGTTAACAATAAAAGGGTTGCAATGGTTTTCGGGTGATCCGTTTGATAATTAGTGTGTCTCTAAATCAGTCAGGATCGGCACTCCTTGTTCTTGTGTGTTTTTTCCCTCAGTGTCGAGCTGCAGAAAGCTAACCTTGAGGCCCAAAACTCTCCCGGCACCGGCGGCTCCTCGAGCGGCCAGTCCTCCTCCGCCACCGCCGCCTCCCCCCTGGCAAGCGCCATTCCCCTCGCGCAGCTGCTGGCCAAGCCGGGCGCCCTCAACGCCCTCACCTCTCTGAGCGCCCTCGGCGGCCTCACCGAGCTGCTGGGCGGCGGCCAGGCGGGCGCCCCGCCCGTCCAGACGACAGGCGTGCACCGCTCCCACAAGAACTACGCGCCCAGGCTGCGATCGCCCGCGGGCGGGGGCGGCCCTCAAGACGGATCCAAGCTCAAGTCCGAGCGCAACAAGTTCAACCCTTACTAGGGCCGCCCCTCCAGCGCTTATCCCACCCCCAACACCGCCACCACACTCCCCGAGAGCCTTAAACGCGCGACAGGGTTTTACCCGTTTTGGATACCTAACGTTTTGATTTTACACGTTTCATTGACATTATTCACGCTACAGTAATGTTTCAAAGAATTTTCGTTTTTTTTATGCGATGTTTTTACCATATTAGAGTTGGGCAAACTACTTGAAAAAAGTAGTGGAGTATAACTATTAGGGTGTGCCAAAAAAACTCGATTTTTTTTTCTTGCTCTCCACCCAAAATATCGTTGAATATGTCCGAACAAATATCCTGTTAAAAGCGGAGCTCATAATTTCAATTTTAAGAGGTCCTTCATCGAATCTGAAGTTTTGCCGCTTAAATAGCACAGAAAACTGACTTTTTTACCTTATTTATTCTTGCAACCTAGGAAGAAATTTTCTTTTCATAAAATCCATGACCAAATCTTACAAATAGTAGAGGATCCCAAGTAAGGTCGACCTTCACCCATCTGCTTACCAGATGAAAATTATATTTTATCAAATAAAATATGTTTCTGAACATAAACCAATAGGGTTGCCATAAAAAATATGATCAAGGCTATCTATAATAAATAAAAAATTAAAAAAAAATAATTAATTTTTTAAATTTCACCGACTTGCTTGCCAAATGAACGAAATTCCAATGGAAAGCATACAACATACAGAATATGTAACAGCTAGGTTGCCTACCTTTTTCTGGTCCCTATTACCTGGTTGCTTTGTACAGGGTGATCCCCTATAATGTCGCCCCCCTTTAACTTTTTTATTTTAAGTGTCCCAAAAAATTTAAAAGTTTGGTTATGTAGGTACTAAAAAATACTTTTTTTCTACGTATAAAGAAAATTGGAAAATTGATCAGTATACAGGGAAAAACAAAAAAGTTTATTTTTTTTCAATGGATCACCGTATATATGAATTTATTTTTCGATTCCTTGTAAAATTCTGAGCATAATTTATATAACAAACCATATACCTAAATTCAACCGTTTCTGAAATATTCGCATTCGAAATGTCATCATTAAATGTTTTTTTAAACTGTTAGAAATCAAGAAGCCTCAGTATACCAAAATTTTTATTGAAAATAAATTACTATAGTGACATTATGTCAATAAGTGTTGTTAAATAAGTAAAAATGGCGTACTCAGACAGAGAAAAACAAACTATTTCAACTTATTATCTTAAAAATAATTTAAATATTTCAGAAACGGTTGAATTTAGGTATATGGTATGATATATGAAATATGCTTAGAATTTTACAAGGAATCGAAAAATAAATTCATATATAGGGTGATCCATTGAAAAAAATAAACTTTTTGTTTTCCCTGTATACTTATCAATTTTCGAATTTTCTTTATACGTAGAAAAAAAGTATTTTTTAGTTCCTACATAACCACACTTTTAAATTTTTTGGGACACTTAAAATAAAAAAGTTAAAGGGGGGCGACATTATAGGGGATCACCCTGTACAAAGCAACCAGGTAATAGGGACCAGAAAAAGGTAGGCAACCTAGCTGTTACATATTCTGTATGTTGTATGCTTTCCATTGGAATTTCGTTCATTTGGCAAGCAAGTCGGTGAAATTTAAAAAATTAATTATTTTTTTTTAATTTTTTATTTATTATAGCTAGCCTTGATCATATTTTTTATGGCAACCCTATTGGTTTATGTTCAGAAACATATTTTATTTGATAAAATATAATTTTCATCTGGTAAGCAGATGGGTGAAGGTCGACCTTACTTGGGATCTTAGACTAAAAGCATTAAATTTGGACGAAAAAATCTTATTAAGCCGAATTTCTTTTTTCATTATTTGATTTTTTACAGAGCTTTAAATTTTACGTTTTTTGCCTTTTTCAGCTAAACTATTGAAGTTAGACGAAAAAGTCAAATGGCAATTTTTTAGCTTGTCTGATGGACCACAAAAAAGGTTTAGGCGAATTTTTTGTATCGTCAATATTAAAAAATCAAATAATGAAAATAGAAATTCGGCTTAATAAGATTTTTTTGTCAAAATTTAATGCTTTGTAAGAATTAGTCATGGATTTCATGAAAAAAAATTCTTCCTAGGTTGCAAGAATAAATAAGGTAAAAAAGTCAGTTTTCTGTGTTATTTAAGCGGCAAAACTTCAGATTCGATGAAGGACCTCTTAAAATTGAAATTATGAGCTCCGCTTTTAACAGAATATTTGTTCGGACATATTCTACGATATTTTGGGTGGAGAGCAAGAAAAAAAAATATCGAGTTTTTTTGGCACACCCTAATAACTTTATAACTACAAGTAGTTAGTTAAAAATTTAACTACTCTCTCCGGCATCTTACAGCTACCAAAATGGCAAAATGACCAAAGCTATACAATTTAATAAAACACATGAAAGACGCCTTATTATTATTTTAATTTTATTTTAAAGTAAATGAATTTTTTATAGTTCCTTTGTGGAAAAACTAAACAAAACATAAAAAAATAACACAAACAAAACCTTAATAATAGCATCAGAATTATAAATAACATATAATATATTAAATATTTTGATTTGATTTAAAAAATTGCTGACAACGCGTAGCATGTAGTTGACTACTTTTTTAACTACTATTTACGAATATTGTATCAAGTAGTTAAATCCCTCAAAAGTAGTTGAAATATATAAAAGTAGTTAACTTATTTTTATGAAGACCTGAAATATTCAAGTATAAATAAAATACAATAATTATTATTTTTACAAAAAAGTAGTAGTTAACTGCATTTGTAGTTAACTACTATCCAGCTCGGTTTACCAGTATATATTATTTAAAAATGTCATTAAACCAACTCTATCAACAATGGTTTTACATATTGTGAATTTATTTATAATTTTACTTATTTTTAAATAAAAAATAATTCAAATTAACATTAATAATTGTTCAGTTTTTCATTATTTTGGAAAAAAAGCAAAACAGACAGCATAGGATCAACTTATACTTCATCAATAATACTTTTGAATTATGATAAAGCTTAGCACAAAAAAAAATCGTATTTTATTTGTGAAATGGCATCAAGTCCATATAAAAAAAACATCAAAAGTACAGATCATCCTGATGATGATTTGATAAATATTGTGAATTTATTTATAATTTTAATTAAATCTAATCAAAAAATAATTCAAATTAACATTAATAATTGTTATGCTATCAGTTTTTCATTATTTTGGAAAAGCTAATACTGATGAAAGCAAAATAGACAGCATACAACAAAATTAGACTCTATCAAGAACAGTTTAGCTTTATTAAAGAAATCGTAATACCAAGTGTAAAACAGCACCAAGTCCACATTTAAAACAAAATCATTGGAACCACGCATCATTTTGATGATTTGATGAATATTGTGGATTTTATTTATGATTATACTTCTTTTTAAACAACAAAGTATACAAATTTACGATAATATTTGTTATGCTAATATTTGTTCTTCATTATTTTGGAAAAGCTAATACTGATTAAAGCAAAATAGACAGCATAGAACCAACTTAAACTCTATCAACAATAGTTTTGAATTATGATAAAGACAAGTACCAAAAAAATCGTATTTTATGTGTAAAATGGCATTAAGTCCATATTAAAAAAATCCTGATGATTTGATGAATATTGTGAATTTAATTTATAATTGTACTTCTTTTTAAACGAAAAATTATCCAAACGTACGTTAATATTTGTTATGTTATCAATTTTTTATTATTTTAGAAAAAGCTAAAACTGATGAAAGCAAAATAGACAGCATTGAAGTCTATACTTATCCTTATGATTTGATGAATATTGTGAATTATATTTATTTAATTTACGTAAATATTAATTATGCTATTAAGTTTTAATTATTTAACAAAATTATAAATTTGGAGCTGTAGCTTGAAATAAAAGTAATTTTTTTTAACTTTAAACAAAACAAAAGTATCCAAAATGAAGAACACCCCAAAGCGCCATCTATCCACTAGGGTGCAGTGACGTATAATTAAAAAAAACATCACTACACCCTACTATTCATATCCAAAATGCGCCTTGCAGCAGCATTGTTAAGCGGACTACATGTTTCTATATTCAGAGTTTGATTATTTTCTTTCATTTTTACATTGACTATCATTACTCCAACACCCAGTACAGTAATGACTTTTTATTTACACTTATACACGTATTATTATTATTTGGACGAAAATTCTGGATATAGTTTTTTGTAGTCCAACTCATTGACTTTATACCTTATAGTTTTTTCTTTATTAAAATTAGTACGTATAGGCTGTTTTTTGTATTATTACTAGGCAACGTGAATAAAAACTTTTTATTCATATCATTGTGTGATAAAATTTATCGGATTAGTGTATAAAGTCAATGACATTTTTTGTGAGTATACAACCTTTATTATTTTTTATACACATGGTACAGATTGTTATTTTTTTTGCGATGTAATCTTTATATATGAATGTGTATTGTGTTTGATATTAATTTGTTCCAAAGTTTGAAACCAAATTGTTTTATTTCGGTTAAAAAAATATGTAAGAAACTTTATATATAAAGAAGCAGCTTGATGGTGAGATCTGTACGCGGATTAGTTATGTTAATTAATAAAGAAATCCAATATTAATTACCTAGGTTAGTTTTGTACAAAATTATATGATCTTAGACAGTTTTATATATTCTTTATATAAGAGCTTTCCTAGTTATAAAAATAAAGTTTTAGGTTAAAATATAGGATATGGCATTGATCATAATTTTATATTCTAATGTTTAGATAAGTGTAAATCGTATTGCTACAATACATTGTGTGTAAAATATATTTTTGTTTTATTCAGTTTTGGTTTAAAAAAATATGTTGCCCTGAATAATGAAAGACGACTTTTTGTCATTGGGGGTTACATTTGGCTTTAAAAAGAAATAAAAACACGATTTATTCATGTTTTTACTTCTTTTTAAAACCGATAAATTATCAAGATTTGTTATGTCATCGATTTTTAATTATTTTGGAAAAGCTAATACTGATGAAAGCAAAATAGACAGCATAGCACAAAATTGGACTCTATCAGGAATAGGCACCAAGTCCACATTTAAAACAAAATCATTGGAACTGCGCATCATTTTGATGATTTGATGAATATTTTGGATTTAATTTATGATTATTAGACTGGGCCAAAAAAATCAACAATTTTTTTTTAAACTATATCGAAAATATTGTTTGGAGTGACAAAAAAAAATTATGGTGAAAGTTTGAGTCCATAATATTAATATTAAGAGGTCTATCATCGCAATTTTAGATTTTTTTCCTGAGCGAGTTTTTGTCTCAGAACTCCCAAACTTAAGTTTTTTTAAGAAAATTAAATGCTCTACAAAAAAGGTTAAAATGAAATTTTCCGCCAGATGAACCGTTTCCTTAAAAATTGGTATAGTTTTACATTTTGATCTTTTAACTTTGGAATTTTGTAATTCATGTAAAAATCAGTACCCAGAAAAAACTGATGAATATTCTTATGGGAAATCAAATGCTTTACAAAAATTAACAAAAGTTATTGAAGGTTAAAGTTGAAATCAAAACGAAATATTTGTTTTTTTATGGGTGATAATTTGATTCTTTTTTATAAATGTGTATTATATAACTAATTAACAATTTCCAATAAAAAAACAACATGATTGTTA